GAAAGATAATGGTCGGATGTACCGTCTTCTTCCTTTGTAATACGATCGTTTTCGAACGAAAAAGACATCTGCGAGACAATCAGTTGAAACCGAGATCGTTGTTATAGTATCTTGTGTCATCGGTCTTTTGTTAGTGGCATATCGTATCTTCGCGGAGAGGGTATTGTGTAAGCTAACGTTCAGTTGTATAGTTTACTTTTGCGGTCGTTTAATTATTGATTACATGTGTATCAGCTCGATAATATTTTCGCCGATGTATTCGTTAAACAATTAGATTAACGATTTGTTTGTACTCAAGGTGAAACTGTGTAGGATGTTTTATTTTTCATCGGATATCGTGTTCCGATTTGATTCGTAGAATTAATTCTTTTCTTTAACTGCGACGCAGTAATGGGTACACGCGTTGAAACGTACTGTCAAGTTGATACATATTTGTACACGGTGGTATATGGAGAGTGTTCTTATAATGCGTGGACTTTTAAGTGGAGTGGAGACGTTCGAAGAGAAACGTGTAATTTGCGCAACGCGTTTGTTGCGATTTATCCTGGAATGCGGCGAAATGGAAGATTCGTGTTCAGAAGTGAAGGTAAGATGCACGTTCCATGAAAATATTTTGTACGTGAGTAATAAGGTCATTGAATGATTAAATGTAATTTTAATTGTGACTGAAATGGAAAGATTCCAGTGAAACAACTTTTAATTACGTCCCACGAATGGTTCAAAATGTTTTACAAGTATCTATTCGATTAAATTGTTGTTGAATTAAAGTGAAAATCTACGTGTTAGTCATGATTAAATAAAATTTCACTTGGTAAAAGATATTTCCATATTTATGAATTTTTAAATATTCATGGTAACGAACCGTGAAACGTTATTGTATGATTTTTAAAATCAAAAGATTTTGCGATTCGTGTAACGTCTGTTTTAAAGTCGTCTCGAAAACATTGGAGGATGAAGTGCCCCCTTGTGGAGGGCCATTACTCTTTTGCCGACATGTTGGCTCTGTCGGTTATTCGCTCTCAATATTTTAACATTCAATGTTTTTTTGTTTTGAACATACTCTTATATGCTGATTCACGAAATGACAGTTTAACTTTAAAAAATTAGGAATTTTAAAAAGTATTAAATATTTGAGAAAAGTACTTCCGGTCGGTCATTGATCATGTATTGTCAATGTATAGTTCTGTATCCTAATTCTGTGTTTATATTCAGACACCCACAATCGGGTATCCGATCAATGGTCTATATTATTATACAGTAATTCATTAAATGATATATTAATTTTATTTCTCATTTTCAATTTTTCGAACCATGATATTGATTCGGGAAACTGCACACTCGTGCAGCAAGTTACTATATCAGAAGTTGGTATTATGCTACATTATTGATCTTACAATGCAACAAATGAAATGACATTAAAAAATTATAGTGTTCTAGAAAATGAAATTTATTAATTGTAATACGAGTATATTCTAATCAAAATTGTATTTTAATGTATAAATACTTAAAACAACCATTATGAGGATAAGAGAAAAGATACAGGGGTTAGGGTCATTAACATATCACTGTAGTTAACAAAATGAATTTTATTTTCTGTGGAAATGAAAGAAATGATATTTCTTCTGCATGTCCATTGAGTTGCCAGGTACTGCAGTCGCTCAATTTGCATGGTAATATAACCGTAATATAAAATATTTAATACTAAAATTAGATAAATATACAAGGCACATGTACCTGTTACTTGTGATTATATCACATGGATTTAACTAATTGGGCATGTTCGGTAGGTGTAATGGTTGGTCAGAGATTCTGCATTGTATACGACAATTACAGGAACTAATTTATGTCTGCCAGCATATGTACAAAATTAGAGATGCAGTTTCAGTAGTATTAAAACAATTTATGTGGTCATACACTTGTATATTCTGTTTGGCGTTGCGAGGGATTATGATAGAGGCCAGCCATAGCTTCTTGCAAGGCCCTCAAACACGCAACATGTGCCTTAAATCCTCCTGCTCTTTCCGCTGAAGACTCTACCCTAACGTGAGTGACATAACCACGTGCTTGTAGTTCCCTCCAACCAGGTGGTGTTGGGCCCTCAGTAGCTTGCCGAATAGGAGTATAAGAGTATAAAGGCCCTTCATCGAGTTTTGGCACAGGCATATAATTCTGGCTTCCTTGATTGCTGAATTTTATTCCTGTACTAAATTGAGTAGCCTTAGGAGGTGCAGCTTTCGTTTCTTTCTTGGATGCTTGAATAGCAGAGGCAAATGTTTCTACAATGTTCTTTGCATTTCCTTCTGAGAATGTAAGTTCATCTATCAATGCCTCCTTCTCACGAATCTTTTTCCTCTTAGCTTCCATTTCTTGTTTGACTAATTCCATTCGCCTTTCTTCTTCTTTCTGCTTCTCTAGCTCTATCATCTCCTCCAGTTCATACTCGCTTCTGCCGAGTTTAGATTTGCTTTTAGTAATCTGATCTTTATTATCTTTCTTATATTGTTCTATCTTTTTATGAGTTTCCAAGACATCAATGTTATTTGCTAAATTATATATTATGGTTTCAACTTCCTCTAAGTAATCATTGTATTCCCGTAACGACCCAAAGTCCTCTTCCTTTTTATTGAAATCTCTCAGTACCCTCTTCCGTATGTTTACTTCTTTTTCCACCATCGCATCCTCGAACAACTGCACACGGAAGTTGGCTCTCCTAAGAGGGATCTTACACTCCGGACAAGATCCCGATCCTTTACAAAACACAAGAAATATTACACCACATACTATACAATACTTCCCTACTACCACCAATATACTAACCTTTAAGAAAGAGCAAATCAACGCAGCTTTCACACAACGTGTGTCCGCAAACGTTTACCATCATTTTCAACGATGGATTTCGATATTTGGTAGTTTTGCATCTTGGACACGCTTGGTCGTCCATTTTTGCGAGGTATACGAATAATACAACCGACCATAAACTATCGAACAGAATAACGCAATCTTTCGTAATCTGACCGACCGGTTAATGGATCGGTGACAACGTTCACATCACGCCGCGTGACACGATTTCAAACTGAATTCAAATCGACGGAATCGTCCGACACTGTTGAACAACCGTGGAACAATTTAACCATCGCGTTTCATTCGGCCGTGATAAACCTCAACAACATCGCCGTCCGTCGACATAACCTACAAACCCGTAATTCACGCCATCGTCTGTTCACCCCAGGCCAGAAATCTCGAACGTGTAATCGATACCCGTGAATCGAGGCGGCACGCGTGTATCGATAATATCGAGACTGTTTACGAGCGCGATATAAACACCGATATCTGGCGTGACGCGTAATATACGATAATATTTATACAGATTAAACTTCCCGCCAATAATTGGCGACAATTGCGGCCGACTCCGCGGTACTTTGTCATCGGCCGGAATTGATCGTAACGTAAGATTATCAACGAACGAACGACCCCGCGCAACGGACCACGGACCGGCGTCCCGTTACAATATTAAAAATCCCGTTATTTATTCAAATTTTATATTCATAACCGGCGCCGATATTAAAATGAACCGCCATACTTTCCCTTTATTCCCGGCTTTTAACGTCCACGCGCGCCAGCGGAGCCGCGTAAACGCATTAAAAGATAAACTCGTTCGGGGTACGTGATTCGCATGTTCACCGGGTTCGGGGAATCTCCGCGCCTCTCGCTCGCGTTCCGTTTCTCCGCCTCGTTCTCCTTTTACCCCGGCCCGATCCTTTTTCAATCTTTTAACGTTACGATCATCGCGCGTCGTTACGTGATTATCGAGGCGAGGAAGCAGGGTTGAAAGGCGGACGAGAGGTCGTCCCGATGAAAAGGAGCACGACGTCGAACCCCTCGAGAGAAGGCGACGCGCGGGAAGAGATAAAACGAAGAGGAAGCGCGGGACTCCGGTGGCACGTCTGTCACGCGTTTCACCTCCAACGATTTGGGGCATCGATCTCCCTTTCAAATCCATCGCGCGGATCACACGCGAAAAGAAAAAGAAACCGCGCGAAAGGTGGCCGGTGCAAAGGGAGAACGGCAAGAAAGAGATACACAACGCGTGTTCATTACGGCGGTAAGAACAAAGGGCGCCGGCGGTGCTTTGGCGGCGAAACGCAAGACCGCCCGCCAACGCGCGCGCTCGCGCGTGTTCCGTTCCCTCGCGACGCGGTTCCCACGGACACCCGTTATTCAACCCGTCCCGCCGGTAAGACCGCCACGGAAATTCCGTGAAAAACGCGCAACGACGTTTCCCCCGGATCCGAGGGAAGGCAGCCTAAGCCCGGTGTCGCGCGCCGCGCGGCGCACCGAATTTCCGAGATTAGCCGGAGTCTTGTACCAGCCGGAGATTTCCCGAAGCGAACATCTTATTACGGTGTTTTCTACCCCGGCGGGAATATCGTCTAGCTCCCGTTGATCCCCGTGATTCGCTTAGAATTTAAATACGCTGTGTACATCGGAGCCACGCGGCCGAATTTTATTCGAATTACGCGCGGGGATGAACAGAAACGCCGGCGGAGCCTCTCGCCCTGTGGCTTAAACGATTCCCGGTTCACCCGCTCCGAAGAAAATACCGTGCGATCGTCGACACTGAAATTCCATTTCCCCCTTGTTTTCGCGCGCCTTTCGCTGTTATTCCTAATTCGCGACTCGTGAATTTGAATATACTCTCGCGCACCCTAATTCGCGAACGACTGCTCCGACGTGCGCGCTGTTAATCGCGATTAATTAATGTGAACCGTGGCGGAGAGAAGTTTCGCCTTCCAAGGGTGCTTTAATTAGTTATTTAGATTCAATTACCCCCGCACAAGGGGCAATTCAGAACCATAACAATTATTCTCCCTTTCCCCCGGCGTTCCCGAGTTTCCGCGCGGCCGTACAAAGAACGTCGTCCACTTCCCCGAAAAAAAGGGAAAAGGGGGAGAAAAGAAAACAATTACTCGCGGCCCCTTATCTTTCGAGCGGCGACTAAAAGAGCTCGAGCGGCGTAATTGAATGTCATATTAATTCAGTGCTCGACGGGGGTTGGAAGCCGAAAATCTGCGCGAGGGCAATCGCCCGGAATTTCGCGGCGGGTTCAATCTCTGCCCGCCGGAAAAAGCGGGTATGACACCGGCTGACCGTTAAATCCGTCTAAAACCGCGCGTTCGGTCCAGGCGGACGGACCCCGAAGGATATTCAGCGGTCGAGAACGCTCGGCTGGAAGGTTTCTGTATTTTTCTTTTCTCTCTAACGACCGCTCCCTTCCTTTGCAAGTACATGCAAACGAGGATCGCTGCGATAAGCTCGATTTAGCGGTTACACGCGAGGGCCGAAGAGAAAGAGAGTGAGAGAGAGAGTGAGAGTGTGAGTGTGAGCCGCTCCTCTCCGCTGCATTGATATTTGTTGCGGTCGGAGGACGAAGCGTGTTGGTGCGTGACACGTGTACAATGATGACGTGGTCTCCGACGAGAAAAAGACGCGCGAGAGGGTAGGAGAGAATACGAGCGATATAGGGAGAGAGAGGGGGGAGAGAGCACGAGAGAGAGTGGCCGCGAGAGGAGAGAGGAGAGAAGGATCGGGCCAGCGCGGAATTCGATTCCGGACTAGGGGGATGCTGCACGGCCGCGGCGACACGAGTGTGCGTGCAAGTAATATAGAAGCAA